TTTACTTTCCTCTTGTCCCACTATCATGCTCAGCCTTCATTTGGGTTTCAGTAATTCCTCTCAGTCACATTGCCCTTGATGAAGCCCTACCAGGCCTCCTACACCCTCCTCGTCATCGATTTTGGATCACTTGTGGTTCCCTTGTCCCTGGGTTTGTTAACACCACTTCCTTCGCCCCTCCTCCGCTCCCATGTTTCCCCGAACCGTCGGTCCTGTTGTTTTCTCCTCCATATTATTTATCCCGCCTATCTTATCTAGATATACCATTATTTTGTGCTTGACATCTGAATTCCAGTTTCTTTTAAGGTCCTGAAAGTTAACTCACAGAATTTCTGAAGTTCCTTATTTTTGTTTGTTCTTGGAGTATTTCTGAGGTGCTTTCTATGGAGTCCTGAAAGAGCTGTTGGTAAGCATTGGACTGCTAACCACAAGACTGGTGGCTCAAACCCATGCGCTGCTCTATGCAGAAGAAAGATAGGGCAGTGTGCTTCGGTAAAGATTTTCAACCTTGGAACCCCATACAGGGGCTCTTGCCGTTGAGAATGACTCGATGGCGGTGGGTTTTAGATTTTGTTCTATGGTATATTTCAATATTTTAAATATTTATGAGAACACAATTTCTGTAATTTCCAGGAAAATTTAAAATATAGCAATCAAAAACGTAGCCGTTTTACACATTCTTGGGAACAAGGATTTGTTGTAGTTTGAGGTTTTAATTTTTATAATCAGAATAATCTTTTTGTTTCCTCTGAAGGCTGCAGCAAGACACCAGTGCTCCTACTTAGTGAACCTTCATGTAAATGATTTCCTTCATGTTGGTGGGGACCCCAAATGGCTCAATGGCTTAGAGAATGCTCCTCAGAAACTACAAAATTTAGGAGAACTCAACAAAGTGCTAGCCCATAGACCTTGGCTTATTACCAAAGAACACATTGAGGTAAGTCATAATAATCACAGGTGTCTTTATTTTTTTAATGGTATTTTAAACTAGTTTCTTCTGAATTTACTATTAAGGATAGTAGTATAAAAGTAAATTGACTTAGATCAGTGTTTCCCAAAGTGGGCGCAACCTCCTCCTGTTGGGTACTGGGACGACTCAGGGAAGCTGCAAAGCAGATACCGAGTACAAAAAGTGGTCATTGCCGAGTACATTTTTTTCTTTGAAAAGGGGGCAGTGGGCCTCCAAATAAATTTGGAAACCTATGTTTTATGTACTTAGAGTGTATTATTAAGAATATGAGTAATGCAGTATCTAAGAAGCTCTAATGGCACTGCTGGTTAAATGTGAGATTGCCAACAACAAAGTCTGCATTCAAACCCCAGCCACTCCTCCGTAGAGAGATGAGGCTCTCTGCTCCTGTTAACATTTACGGCCTTGGAAACCACCCTCTTTAGGGTGGCTGTGAGCCGGAACCAACTTGATGGCCGTGGGCAGTGAGTGCAAGATCTGGTGTATCATCAAGTTTAAAAAGTTGCCGGTGTTACAAAATAGATAATAAAGCACAAAATGTAATTCTATGTATTACTTGGCTTAATTTTCAAAATACACTTTTACGATTTAGGAATATTTTGTGATGTCCTGTGGGTGGGTGTAGTGGGTTACAAGTTGAGGTGCTAAGCACAAAGTCAGCCATTCAAAGCCTCCTGTTCCTGGGAGAAAGATGGTGCATTCTGCCGCCACAAAACCGTTCACTTTCAGAAGCCTACAGAGGCAGGTCTACTCTGTCCGTGGAGTTGCTGTAACTCAGACTTGGCTCTCTGGCGATGAAAGGAACATTTAGAGTCTTACGGTGTTGACAGCATGGGGGCTGTTGGTGGTCCTGTGGTAGAATTTTCAGCTTGCATTCCGCAGCCCAAGGTTGTTTCCTGCCACGCATGTGCATCTCTTTACCTTCACCACCCATCTGTCAGCAGAGCTGGTGCGTTGCTATGATGCAAAGCAGGTTTCAGCAGAATTTCAAGCTAGAAAGAAAGGCCTGACAATCTACTTCTGAAAGCAGCCAGTAAAAGCTTTATGGATTAATCTAGAGGGTGGAACAAGATGGCAGTTAGCCAGATATCCCATGCCCAAACCCCTGCAGCAAAGAGACAAAAACCAAGTGAAACAGATACAAATGACAAGCTTGGAACTCTGAGCAGCCAACAGAGGGATGAAGCATTAGATCAAACACTGAAGGGGTGGAAGGAGAAACTGGACGAAAGCAGTGAACAGGAAGACAAATGGATAGGAGGGGCGATGCCAGCTGGCCCAGCAGAGCCTCTGGCCATCTTGAGACCAAATCAGCGTTGTTCCCTGGTGAGGAACACAGGATGGCAAATCCCACACTAGAAGACAAGAGATACAGTGTAGATAAATCTAAAGTGCTCTCTGCACTTCTACCTATTGACGAACAAGGATTCATAATGCCTCCCTCCAGCAGCTGCCTGGCTGCAACTTTGTACATTCTATCCCCAGACAGTTCCGAAAAGGCAACTGCACAGGCACCGAAACCCCATGATCTCTCACCAGCTACTGAGATGCCTATTTGTGTTTACACAGAGGCTTATCTCATCAGTTTGGGAAGCAGTCCCTCACATGCTGTGGAGCTGCCCTGCCTTGACCTCCAGAGGACACAATGAAAGCTAACCCAAAGAACTACATGGTCCTACAAGGGCTGTTGGGACTCTGACCACCCAACGCTTTTCCCCCAAAGGACTATCAGGGAAAGAACCTACTCTCCTGCTTCCACTCACCTCAGGGACAGCAAACATTAACAAATCATAGGAAGAAACAGAATAAGATGGCTCGAAAAAGAGCAAAATAAGGGGGCAGAAAGCCTCACTGAAGAAGAGATGGTAATAGAACTGCTTGATAGGAATTCAAAGGGCTTAATTAAATATAAGATCTTCAAAGAGATTAAAACTGCAACACCAACAAAACCCTGGAAGAATTTAGAAAGCAGTACAAGAACAAAATGACAGAACAAACAATTATAAACACCACACAACAACAATTAGAAATCCAGGCCATCAAAAATAAAATATCAGAAATAGATAACTCAGTAAAAAGCCATAGAAGTACAATTGCATCAATCGAAAGAATTGGCCAAATGGAGGACAAATACTAATTTGAGTGGGTAACAATCATAAAAGAGTAAACAAAAAAGAAAGCCTAAGAATTCCATGAGACACTGTCAAGAGAAAGAATTTGCAAGTAAGTAGAATCACAGAATGGAGAGAGAAAGCACCGCGAATTTTTGAACTTATTGATAGAAAAAACTTCGTTATAGTATACAAGATAAGATGCTTTTCATCAAAAAGCAATACAAGGTAGACCTCAAACAGAAGTTACCAAAACATATTCTAATGACACTTTCCAAGATGAAAGAATTGTGAGAGCATCTTGTTTAAAATGAAAGAACTATCACCTACAAAGGCATACTTTATATGCTGATTTCTTGGCAAAAGGCAGTGGGAAAGAATTGCTAACCAAGAATCATACATCCAGCAGAGTTATCTTTCAAATACTGTGACAAAATGCGGGGCATTCCCAGATAAACAGAAAGTAAGGAATATGTTTTAAAAACAGGTCACCCTTACAAGATACAGGCAGCATATTTTAACAAAATACAGTCTGATCAAGTGGGATTCATGCCAGGGATAATTCAACATTAGGGATAATTCAACATTAGAAATTCAATCAGTGTAACTCCATTGAATTTGAAAACAAAAGAATCACATAATCATCACAATTGACATAGAAATGGCATTTGATAAAATGTAACACCCTTTCTTGATAGAAACTCAGCAACATCGGAATAGAAGATAACTTTTTCATTATAATTAGCATAATCATCAGAAGTTTAAAGAATTTCTGTGTGTGGATTATGGTGATGGTGAAGAATATTGAAAATGCAATGGACTGCCAGAAGAACAAAGAAGTCTGTCGTGAAAGAAGTCCAGCCAGAATGCCCCTTGGAAGTGAGTTTGGGAAGACTTCATCTCATGTATTTTGGACATGTTATCAAGAGAGACCAGTCCCTGGTGAAGGACATACCTGATAAAGTAGAAGATTATTGAAAAAGAGGAAGACCTTCACGAGGTTGATTGGCCCAGGGACTGCAACAATGGGCTCACATCTGAGGGCAAGTATGAAGATAGCACAGTATCTGGCAGTGTTTGCTTCTATAGGATCACTATGAGTCAGAACCTAATGGTGGCCCCTAACATTATCATATGCAAAACCAACAGCCAACAATATTCTCAGCAGAAAGATTGAGAGACCTACCCAGGAGAGTGGAATGAGACAAGGATGCCTTGTGGGTTACGAATGGGACTGCAAACTGCAAGGTCAACAGTTTGAAGCCACCAGCTGCTCTGAGGGAGAACGATGAGGTTTTCTACTCCCATTAGGATTTAAAGTCTCACGAACACACAGAGGTAGTGTGTTAGTCGGGGTTGACTAGAGAAACAAATCCAGAGACACTCATATATATGTAAGCGAGAACTTTATATCAAGAAGCAATTATGCATCAATAAAACATCCCAGCCCATTCCAGATCAAGTCCATAAATTTGATATTAGCCCTTAAGTTCAATATTAGCCCATGAATTCCTCTTCAGACTCACGCAGTACATGCAATGATGCTGAATGCAGGAAGATCACAGGCCGGTGGGTGAAAAGTCTTGTGGGTCCAGTGGCAGTGGAAGCATCTCAGCCCTGGTGTGATGTTCCTCTAGCTCCCTGAGTGTGGCATGCCTCATGGCTTGTCAACAGGAAGCTGAAGCAGAGAGAGTGTGTGTCCCACCTCCAGGGAGGAAGAGAGGAAAACTCCCAGAATCTTCATGAGAATGCCACACTCACAAGGAAGCATCAATCAGGCTGTGACCTAATTGACAGGGTAGTCTCCACCCCTTCATTCTTATACATCAAGTTGACATGAAATTGTGTAACTATCACAGGTAGTTCTAATGGATCCCATCCAGTTGCTATGAGTCAGAATTTACTCAGTGGCAGTGATTTGGATTTTGCGGTGTTTTTTTCAGTTTAGAAATGGAAGCCGTAACTACTACAACAGTAAAGCAAAAAACAGAAGGTATCCAAATTAGAAACGGAAGAAATAAAACTATCCTGGTGGTGTAGTTCGTTCTGTTGGGCTGCTAAGCACAGGCCAGCAGCCTCTCTGAGAGCGAAAGATGAGGCTGTCTTCTCCTGTAGAGAGTTAGTCTTCGAATACTGGGGAGCAGTTCTCTGTTCTGTAGGGTCTATATGAGTTGGAATCAACTTGATGGCAATGAGTATGGGAACCTAATTCATTATGTAAACTTTCACCTAAAGATTATAAAATAATGAAAAAGGAAAAGTAGATCAGAGAAAATGGATACATTATGATAACTGTCAAACAAACAAAATATATGGATCAGAAAGGTTTGATCCACAACTGATCATGGGGTTGGCACCGGACCAGGCAGCCTTGAGTCCTGCTTTATGTAAGGAACCCTTGAGTTGAAGAAGTCTGATGACAAAAAACAAGCATTCCTCATTGCAAAGCCACCAGCCAACACTATTCTCGGCAGAAAGATTTCATTTTAATTTAAACATATGTGTTACATTTTGGTTGAGATTTTGGAATAAGTATAGAAACACAATGCAGCATTTGAAATACAGATGCTTCTAAGTAAAAGTATTTGCTTAAAACTGATTTTATGTGAAATGCATTTATTGCATCTTAATTTAGTGTTTCAAAAGTCAAAATAACAATGATTTGTTGGTGTCAGTGTTGAGCTCTATTCATGAATACATATTTATAAAATAAGCATTTAGTTGGTTTTACATGTTCTAAATTGTAATTTTAGAGTAGGCTTTGTATGACTAATCCTGTTTACAGCAGATTAAATACTACGATGAAGTGTTGTTGTGTTTTTTTTAACCAACACTACAGCTCAGTATAAAGAGATGTGTTTGTTTTTACTCCCTAAGGGACTTTTGAAAGCTGAAGAACATAGTTGGTCCCTTGCAGAACTGGTCCATGCAGTGGTTTTGCTCACACACTATCACTCTCTCGCCTCATTTACCTTTGGCTGTGGCATCAGTCCAGAAATACATTGTGATGGTGGCCACACATTCAGACCGCCTTCTGTTAGTAACTACTGCATCTGTGACATTACAAATGGCAATCATAATGTGGAGGAAATGCAAGTCAACTCAGCAGGAAATGTTTCGGTAAGTATCCATTATGTTATGGGATCATTATAAGAATAGTCACAATAATTGCTGTTACCTTGTTTCTTCGTCCAGCTTCTCAGAAAATCCACCCAGTTAAATGCATAGCAATATTAGGCCTTTTTTATTGGCTGCCTCTAAATAAAGACACTAGTGTAGGTGCTATACTACAATGAAAAAACCTTCTAGGAGGCTAACCGCGAGTGATTTTAGGATGAAGCAGCCCCATGGAGGCCAGTTGGTATTGAATGGCTACTGCATGAGATGGGAGGAGGCTGGGGCCACACCCTTCTTCCCATTTGTCAGTGGCAGGTGCTTTCAACTTTACATCCTAGTCTTCCCTTTTGCATAAGACAGCCTGGCATCTTAATTCATCTCTTGGAATATTTACTTGGCCCTGATAGGGAAATTGCTCGTTTTCGTATTTAATGCTGCACAAGTACATGAAGAGTGCTGTCCAGTAGATACACAGTTAACATGATTTTGCCTCTGTTGTTTCTCACCTCTTTTATACTTTTCCAGAAAAAGAAAATAGGTAAACTTCATCCCGAGTCTAACATGTGTTCTGTTCAGGTCAGCGAGTCCTTCTTTGAGGTTGAAGCCCTCATGGAGAAAATGAAGCAGCTTCAGGAATGTCGAGACGAGGAAGAAGCCAGTCAGGAAGAGATGGCTTCACGTTTTGAAATAGAGAAGAGAGAGAGTATGTTTGTCTTCTCTTCAGGTGAGAGCAACAGTTACCAAGTCAATGTAGTTTCTATTGATTACAAAGAGGAGCCTATTTTTTTTCGTTTAGAGAATTTAAACAGTAAGTTTTAAAACATTAATCTAAATATGCCTTTCTTTTTAGAGAACCTGTTTGATGGGTATTCCTATTTACAAACAATTTTTTAAAACGGCCGTTAATTCAGTGTGTTACCTGAAAGGATAGTGGCAAACCCCAGGCCCACTCAGTTCTGTCTTTCGGAAGTCTGCTCTCTCTCGGCTGCTCTCCTTTTTCCCCTTACATTGCAAACCAGTGGCTCTGCTATCTCTCAGAACTCTGTCTTTTTAGCTCGTCTCAACCTAATTCCATTAAAAACCAAGAACAGTGGAGGGTCCGTTAAGTGAATCATTTCCATTATGACCTGGTTTTCTTTGGACTTCTTTTGAACTTCTATATATGATCCAAAAATAGAACACATTTCAACCATTATATAGAAAGGAGTGCTTCTTTCTTCCGTTTTTTTTCTTTCTGATTTTAAAGTTTAATACATTTTCTAAACTAAGTGTTTAAAATATGTCTGTTTTCAGTGTTTCACATCTTGAAAAATTTTAAGTACCATAGATGATCTTAATAATCACTTTTTAAGAATACTGAAAAAAATGCATTACTCTTTTTTGAAATGTAAAGTAATAGAAACCTTAAAGTGGACTAATGGTTGTATTTTGCCACTGCCAGTCTTTAGAAGATGGTTGTCCATGCTACACTACAGATCTCCTCATTGGGACATGGGGATTGTGGGATTAAATCACTGCCAATAAACTTTGCGAGTTTGAGGAAGTCACAAATCCCCACCCCACCCCCATTTCCCCCCTTCTTTAAAATGAGGAAGTTGACTTCCTAGGAGTGCGGATTCCTTCCAGCTTTAAACTGCTGTGGTTCCATGAAAAGGAGAGCTACATCATTAAAAATCAACAACAACCTAACTTCTTTATGTTTAGTCTTTGTGTGCAGGATACAAGATTTAGCATATAAGATAGGCAATTTAAGGGAGACAAAGTTAATATCTCAAAATGTATTTTGACAATAATAGAATTGGATTATATAAATTTTAAAAGTGCTGCTCCCCTCCCCATCTCCATCCCCGCCCCCCCCCCAACACACACACCAGTCTTTTTTGGGGGGATGAATGTTTTTTATTATGAATTAGGTTAGGGGGTGGGTTACTTTTCAGACCCTTAACTCTGCGTTCAGCAGTTCAAATCTCACTCATCATCAACACCCCCACCATATTCTATCTTACTCCTCCCCCCAACCCAGTATCTCTTCTCCCTCTTAAGGACCTCCATCCTCGCTTTCACCCAATCAATATCTGTCAATCTCCCTAGTCCATTGCTTCATCTCCCACCCTCGCTGTCCTTCCCTTGGGGATCTCCAAAGTCTGCCCTTTGCTACGCAAGACTTTGTTTTGTTTTCTGCCTTAAAAACAGTATTTGTCCCTTTGTGATGGACCAACTTCACTCAGCATAATGTTCTTCAAGTCCATCCATGCTATGAGGTGTTTTGTTTTTTAGCAATTTATAGTATTGAGTGTATGCATCAACATTTCTTGATTCATTCTTCTACTGATGGGCATTCGGAATGTTTCCAGTTCTTGCTGATGTGAACAGTGCTGAGATGAAGGCAGTAACGCATACATGTGTTCATGCTACAGCTCCCACCTTCTTCAGGGGGCGTGGCCAGCAGAGGTATGCTGGGTCCTACAGAATTTCTGTTCCCGGTTGTTTGAGGTGCGCTCTTGCTTTCCACTGGTTGCACGTTTATAGAGCTACCAACCGTGTGTGAGCCTTCCAGTCTCTGTATCCTGGCTTTCTGTTTTGTTTTTTAATTGGGCTGTCGTTGTTGATGTAAGGCGATGATCTCACCGTTTTGATTTGCATCTCCCAGATGGTTAATGATTATAAACCTTTTTTTCATGTTTGTTAGCTATTTTGATGTCATTTTTGGTGAGCTAACCATTTATGTCCGTTGCCCACTTTTAATTGGATAATTGTTTTATTCTTGTTGAGGTATTAAAATTTTTATATAGATTTTATAGATTAGTCCCTTGTCTATTTTGTTCCTAAAGATTTTTTCTCAGTCTGTGGGTTTTCTTTTACTTATTTTTTTTTAAAGAACGTTTTCTTCATTCTTGTACTCCTCATTATTAGCTTCCCATTTCCCCCCAAGCTCCCCTACCATACCCCCCAAAACAAAACCCAAACTCACGGCCACGTGTCCATGCTGATTCATAGGGACCTCCTTTGGATTTTCAGACTGTGACTGTTTATGGGAGTAGAAAACCCAGTCTTTCTCCTGAGGAGCTGCTGGTGGTTTTGACCGTGTAACTACCACTCTGCCAGGGCTCCAAGGAACCAGGCATCCAGTACCGTCTCTGTAGATTTACCTATCCTGGATTCCAGATACTGGAAAACATTTTTTAGAAAACCCAAAACTTAACAATAACAAAGCCTGTAAAAACCTGAATCAAAAAGAAAACAGAAATTATTAAAAGCTAGAACAAATTTAAATGGTTGTAAGGTAGATCAGATGATAGTGTGCTATATTTTAACCTAATTGCATCTGTAACAATTGTGGGTTCTCTTTTGATGAAGTTTTTTGAGGCACGTAAGTCGTATTTTTAGTAGGTTCTAGTCATCTATTTTGTCTTCTGTTATGTCTGCTTCCTTCGTTACATTTGGTAGTCTGTGCCCAGCAATGGCGCTTTTTAAGTGTGTCCCCATTTTCTCATTGACGATCTTTATAGCTCTGAGATTTAGCTCTCTGATCCGTCTTAGTTCATTTCTGTACATGGACGGGGGTCAGGTCCTGTTTCATTCTTCTGCAGCGGGAGATCCAATTTTGTCAGCACCGTTTGTTGAAGAGACCTTCTCCTTCCCCTTTACTGTTTTTTGGGCCCTTTGTCAAAGACCAGTTATCTGGAGGTGGATGAATTTATTTCTGGGCTTTCTAGCACTAAGTTTCTTTCAGTACTTCATAGCAAACAGAGACACCAGGTGCGTATAAATGGAGAACTGCCTGTGTGCTGCCACGAAAAGGTTTTTGTGTTGAATCCATGCCCCCACACATTGAATTGTCAAGTGATGCTATACTTTCGTGAAACTATTATTTCATTAGTTCTGAAATGTGATGATCATCCACACGGCTTAGTGGCAGTACTAGGAGCTCTGCACAGTGGGTGATTCATAGGGCCTCTGTTTTTCACTCCCCATTCTAGAACTGTTTCTAAGACTATTGCGCTATTAGTGAAATCCTATATTGTATGACATGAATATTGAAACATAGCTGATTATAATAGCTGTTATTCTCACCTTTAAGATTATCTACAAGGACGTTCATCCTTGAAGCACATTCTTTGAAGTGTAGTCTGTTGTTTTCAGTGCCATCTGTTCAATTGTTTACTCAGAGCAACTCCCTCAGGCAGAGCGGGGTGGGTGGGGGTGGGGAGTGTGTGTGGAGGGGGCGCTTCCTAAACTGTACTCTTGATTGGAGCAGACCGCCAGGTCTTTTCTCCCACCGAGCCACTGGTGGGCTCAAACCACCAACCTTTTGGTTAGGAGTTGAGTGCTTAACCTTTGCCTCACAGGCTTCTAAGTACAACCTGTGTCTTGAGTGAGAACACAGAAGGGCTATGAATGAAAAGAACGAACACCCTGAAGAATTGAACCACATTTTGTTTTAAAACCATTATAGAGAAGTGACTTTTAGGACATCTCAGTTAGTGTTCAGTAAACTATTTGTTTAAAAACTGTATTTTGGTTATCCTACTT